ATTTTAACAATGTTTTGAAGTGGGACTTTAGAGATACATTTTTTTGTACTATTTAAAGAACAACCAGGGTATTTAACAAGGTTTTCAAGTCCCATATTATTTGTAATCAAATCAAAGTGGCGAATATCAGCTGTCTCTGTATGAGAGTGTTTTCTAGTAACTTGCCTATAAATATTGGTATTAGTGTGCGGATTCCAGAAGGTAACATATTCTCCTCTAGTGTTAAAGGAATTTATATCTGATCATAAAGTGAACTAAAAGAATAATTATCAGCTAATCGAAATTCTAATTTAAGAGATCTATCTAAAAGATTTAGGACAACAAGATTAAATATTAGTCTATCTAGAAAGAAGGATCTATTCTAGCAGATTTAGATAATGATATAGAAAGATGATGTCTAACATCTTTCCAATTAAGGAGATGACAACCATCAAAAGAAATTAATTGGTCTAAGTAATATAATTGTAATCTATTGATAATATTGAAATTCTGTTTGAAGGTAGTAAAGGAAAATAAATAATAAAGAGAATGTTTTCCTCCAATAATGTGGTTATTCAAGAAATCTTTAACAATAGGTTTGAGATTAGTAACAACTGAATTAATAATGCTAAGTTGCATACCAATCAAATTTTTGTGAGAAGAATGATTGTAAGGGTGTTTCCATAAGTGAAGTAGAGATGAAGGAAGAAGATTAATTATCTGTAATTGAAAAAGGTGAATTGTAGATACTTTATAATAAAGATTTGTAAAATTAAATTGGTTGAGAAGAGCTGTTGTGAATGATTTAATTTGAAGAAACCAGAGATCTTGTAGGTTATAATATTTGTTATTATTGAGGATAGCAGTAGGTATAATGATGGTGAAATCAGACTTTCTTTTAAAAAGAGTCCTAATAGAGATAAAGTAAACATTACATTCACGTTCAGAAAGAGGTGTACATTGCAATCTATATTCTAAGATTGGACAAAGAAAAGCATTAATTATGTATGCAATTTGTTTATCTGTGAGGGGTTTGGGCTTCATAACTGCTGAAAAATTGTTAATATCTTTTTGAGTTTGATTTTTGACATAAATTTGAGAGTTTGAATAGACAGTTAATCCAAATTCCTAAAAATCTCACAGAATTTTGCTCAGGCGTAATAGTAACGTCAGAAGAACCAAAGTTGATATTAATGGATTGAGATGCAAATGGTTTTTGTTATAATAAGCTTTGATTTAGATTTATTTAAAGCAGCTTTAATTAAGTCATAAAAGTCGTTTGCTATTGCAAAAATCTCTATTAAGTTACGTTGAGAATCAGCAATCCAATTAGTATCATCCATAAAAATTAAAGTGAAAATGGATTCTGAAAGAGTCATAGTAGTATTGCTAATAATATTGTTAGTCCATGTATGTGAGATTTTGTATCCTTTGTTTAGAGTATCAATTTTATATAAAAGTGGATCAAGGTAGATGCATCATAGTAATGGAGAAATAATCTCTCCTTGATCAATACCAATTTTAACATCATAATAATCAGTAAGTTCATCAGCTGTAAATATGGCATTTTTTCTATTGGTGAAGAGATTGATAATTAAATCTATGCATTTAACAGGAATCTTAATCTGTTGTAAAGCGAGACAAAGAAATTTGAGATCTACACGATCATAGGCTTTTGAGAGATCTTACAATAGAATCTATAGCTCTTTTTTATTTTCAATGACATCTTCTAATAGCATATAATAATTTTGATTGGTTTTTCTGTAGAACCTTCAGGTAAACCAGCAAAGTTATTATCTTTCAAGACATAGTATTTGGCGAGAATATTAGAGAATCGATTTGTAATTATTTTGACAAATGCTTTTCGTAAGGTTTCTAATAAAGTAATTAGATGGATCTTTGTAATGTCACATTCCCATTCCATTGGTTTGGGAATTAGATATACATGAATGATTTTCCATTCACTAGAAGTATCACTAATAGTGAAACACATGCAGATTAATTGCCAAACTAAGTATTTGAATTTATTGCCCAAATGTTGAAATATCTTATTATGTATACCTAAAGGTCTAGCAGCTTTGTCTGCGAAAGAACTGAGTACCATTCATTATAAGTAGGAGGTAGCATGAGATTATTATATATTATCAGATACATATTCCTTTGGTTAACTTTATGATGTCTATATACTATCTAAAGATTTTAGAAGCGTTGGTGGTAAAGCGTTATTTTGGAGTCATCATCATGATTGATAAAAACACGATTCAAAGTAATTTTTCTCTTTTTTCTTTGTAGAATAAAATCAATCATTCTACCAGAATGAGACTGTAATTGATCACATCTTTGTTTAATAAGTGTTTTAATCTGTGCATCAGTAATTTTCTTCGCATCCATTTTTGTAAGCTTATACAAGACTTTATAGATGCTATTAAGGGATTTTTTGACTTCTATAAAATTTGATAAATTAATAAAAAGAGGCAAAGGATCCGAAGGATATGAAATATCATTGATAATAGTAGCAATAGTATTTAGGTCACACTTCCATTCATTACTAATAGGCTATAGACATTCTAATATTCTTTTAGAATAGAATTTTAAAAGAATCATTTCAATTTTGGTAAGCGAAGGATAATATTTAGAGAGCTCTTTTGGTTTAGGCATATGGTCTTGTGAAAAAATCCATTTATGAGGTTTTGGAATTACTAATGGCTAATACAGCTTATTTTAATTCCATCCACAGATTATTCATATTGGTGTGGTTGGGTTTAAGGTTTTTTAAATGATCAAAATGGTAGTATTTATAATAGGTATTAGAGTATTCAACAAATCTTGTCTATTTTGAGGAATTCATAGATTTGAGAAGAGGAACCTTTCTTTTAGTATTATTGAGTCTTGAACGAGCTTGAAATTCATGTTGTATATCAGAAAAATAAGCAATAACAATCTCATGATCTGAATTGTAGAGGTACGAATGAACTATATTACAATAAAAAAAGTCAGAAATAAGATTCTGAGAAGCAAAGATTGCATCAATTTGATTGGAAGTATTCGATCTTTTGTATGTAGGTAAGGATATATCATAATATAAGTCATATAAGTCCAAGAAATTTCTGAGTACTAGGCTATGTATAAGATCATACTTCCAAGGAATAGTATAACCAGAATCAATGATACGTTGTAATTTGTTCAGATCTGCATTGAAATCATCCATAATGATAATGTGAAAACCTGATTTTAAACTATTATCTATAAGTCATAGTAATGTTGTTTGTAAGACTTTCCTTTCTTTAGATTCAGTAACATGGATGTAAATTAAGAAAACTCTCAATTTAATATTACCTTTAAGATATAGATCTACATAAATATAATGATCCAACACCTGAAAACTTATTAGAGACAGAACTTCACAGTGTATCAAAATTGGGGTCAGAAGAACATCTGATAACTGATGCCAAATTTCAGACAAAGCAACAAAATTAACATTCTTTTGAAAAAATGTATTGAGTATCTTGCTATTTTTAATATCATTTTGAAGAGAATGGATATTATGAGTAGCAAAGGTAAGAGTGTTTCTATTTAAAATTAAGCTTTTACCATCATTATGTAATTTTTCTAAATCATTATCTATGATAAATGAAAATTGATTACGTGATGAATATAAATTAGAAGGAGAGAGAACATTATTATTTGTTAGTGGGGAATGGTTATTATTAATATTAATATCAGCAGAGGACATAATGGATAACAAAATATTATTCGTTATATTAATCATTTAAAGAATGTAAATAAGGGGTGTATCTAATTTTGAGATTGGCTAGCATTCTTTGCAAATTATTCAATTTGTTTGAACATTCTATCTATCTGTCTTTTTGTTCAACAATAATGACAGCTTGTTCATTTCTCATATTAATAAAGTCAGGTTTTGGGGTTAATATTGGTGAAGTTAAAGAGTCATTACTTAAAGATTCAGCAATGCAAGATCTTTTATTAGGCATATCTTGTGATCTTGGTGATGGTTGAGAAATGTGTGAACCTATTAATGAATCTTTTCCTTTACTAATAATAGTCGAAGGAATAACTGTAGACGTAATTAGAGAAGAAGCCTGAAGAGATTCCAACTTAGCGATTCTAGCATCCAGTTTATTCATATCCTTTTTCATATTGAAGAGAATTGAGAGAATCTGATCCAATTTATTATTAATTTCATTATTCAGATTGTGAACAAAATCCTTCACAGTTGGTTTGATAACATCATTCTGTAGTGAAGGTGAAGAAGTATTCTTATTCTTGATGGCCTCAAAATATGATTTGGAAAATGGTTTGATCGATTAGAATCAACAAATTTTTTAAAACCAGCAAGTTTGAATTTATTATAAAGTCTTTACATTAAGTTGTTTTGAGTAGTAGACTTGGGTTTTGGTTGATCTTTATTATCATTTGGTGAGACAATCTTTTTTTGTAAAAAGAATATTGCATAACTAGATGTGTTAGATTACTATATTTGTGACAACTTCTAGCATCTGGAGAATACTAAATCAATTGATTATTTCCAAAGGTGAAATTTTGTTGTATTGCATGATTGAAAGCTTCTTTACTTTCAAAATGTAAAATAACAAAAGGACGAGGTTTGTAGTTGTTAGTTCTTGGAATATAGCTAGCTCTAGCTTTGGTTGCAAAAATAATATCATAAAGATCTCTTACGGTAATTCTAAAAGAAAGGTTTGTGAGTTTGATACAATAGGTATTTCTATATTTAATCTCTTCTGGAGACATATTGCAAGGATTGATATGAACAGAATCATTTTGAACAAATCAGCTTCACACTTGATAAAATAAAATAGTTCAATACATTTGGGATTTTCATAAGTAATATATGCATGTTGCCACATGCCTCTTACTGTCATTCTAAAATCTGTAATAGTTCTATATTTAGCAAAGACTTGTTTGATGTTGGCGAGTTTCATTTGCAATGGAATATCAGTGATATGGATAGTTCTTTCATTGAATTGCATATTAGCTTTGTATTAGGTGAAATTACAGAAAGAATTGATCTTCAGATCAGGGATGGTCACATGAAGAGTTGCAGCAGCCATGTCTGACATTACAAAATAGACAATTACTAAATTCGTCAAATTTACATGACAGACAGATACTTCTTTAAAATCATCATTTTGAACAAAAATATTATTGATAGCAAGAATGATTTTGCTGTTATTCTTTTCTTTGGGGGTAAACTTAATACTACTAGCAATTGCAAAGGGAGTAGCTTTGGTAACAACAATAAAATCTTTTAAATCTTCTTCCATATCATCGTTTTCAAGATATTCATCAAGGTCCAAAAGTTTTGACCTATCTTTAAATAAGGAAGAGTTTTCAGAAATATCGTCAACTTTTTGTTATTATTATTGTTGTTATTCGAAGGCAGAATAACTGTTGAAATTTTGTTAGGTGTGGCAATTTTAGATACGTCAAAAAATTCAAACTCCATTATTTTATCTAGTAGTAAGCTAAAAACTTCTTAGACAATTTTTAAATCTAAGTTGGTGGTGACAGAAGTTGAGATAAATTGAATTTAATGTATATCTCAATATTAATCACACATTATATGATGAATACTATAAAAGGAAATTATGCGTCTTTATGTATAAAGATGTCATAAAGCAAATTGAGACTTAAATTAAAGCTAAAAATGACGTTAACAATGTTACAGAATTTTTTTTATACACTTATATATTAAAAAAATTTATATTTCTTATATTAATTAAGTCACCTGTGATTAATTACGTATACAAGTATTAATTACCACTCATAATTAATTATGTTTTCCAAAATTAATTACTATATACATAATTAATTACATCTATAAGTATTAATTACTACTCCTATAATAATTACGTCTCTTGTAATTAATTTTGCAATATGTTTTTTTTAAAAAAATGGTAATTAATTACTATAATTATGTATTACGTATATACTTAATTAAGATAATTACTATGCTAAATATATTCTTACAAAAAAATTTAATGTGAAAGTTCTTATGAGTAATATTTTATTATAAGAAACATATATAAAAAATTTTTGTTTATTTTTTTTTAATTATTTTTTTAGAATGTAAATAAAGTTATTTTATTATCTTTTTGATATATTTATAAAGAAAGTTTTTCAGTAGTAGGGTGAGTAGAAGCAGAGGTAATAGAAATAACTTTTATATTTAATAAAATACATTCAAACTTTATTTATTTATTGAATTTAAACTTTTATTTATAAATACATAAAATTATAATATGATATTATATAATTATATTTGTAAGTAATCATAAAAATGTTAATTTATATATTGTTTAAAATTATGAATTTTTCAAATTTATTTGAGAAAGACTGTTTTTTTGAAGCCATTAAATCTGTGATATATTTCAAGTTTATCTAGCTAATTAAGAATGCTTGAATTTTACGACTAATATTTTTGTAAAATTAATTCATTTATTATAGTGATTTGCTTATTGTTTTTACTATGAGTAATTAGAGTTTTACTTAATAGTTGTTTAATAATTTTTTTAGGTAAGTTTTAAATTTTTTTTTCTAATAACCCTTTTTCCTAATTTTCTTTTAAAACTTGTCATTTATTAAAAAAAAAAAAATATTGATAAGTTTTTGTTTTTAATTACAATATTTTTATATTTGTTTCTAATTTTAAGTTTTTTTATTTTATTTTTAATTTAATTTTCTTTTTTTTCTAATATATTTTCCTACCTTTTGATTCCTTTTTAGTAATCATCATTTCTATTATAAAAGAAAGAAATAATAAATTATTTTTTATTTTAATTTTGTTTTTCTTTCTTTTTCTAATATTTTTTTTCTCGATTCACTTTTAGAATACAGATCAAAATCATTTTTTTTTGATATTAAGACTTTTTGGCAAAAATTTATTAATTCAGTTATGTGATTTGATGAATATTTAGCTAATCTTAAAAATCAGAAAATATTCAGCATAATTCAACTAATACCTTTATTGGTTGATTGGTAGTTAATCATTTTCTGATACAGTTAATTTCATAGTTCATAGATCATTAATAATTTTCAGTCACATTCAGTTATAATATAAAATATTTTTTGTCACATTTATTTGCAATTTATTAGTAGTTTATGAATTATAAAATTAGCTATAATTCAGAAAAAATATTGGCATAATAATTTTGACCGATTGTTATTAGTTAATTATTTTTTTGGTTGTTTGATTGCTAATTAATAAAATTTGAAACATTTTATTTAAATTTCATTAAATAATTACAAAGATTTATTTTATTGTTTAAATTTTATATAACAAATGGAAATTAATTTTAATAAAAGTATAATTTAGCAAGTTTTTTAATATAAAATAACAAATCATTAACAAATGTGAAATTTGCGATTAATTGGAATTACCGCTAAATATTCAATAGTATTACTACAAGTGGATATTGAAAATTTTGAAGGTATAAATCAGTAAAGAATATTATGTATCAGAATAATACAGTCATAACTTTTTGGATAAAAATTAAGTTTTCATTTTGACATTATAAGACTTATCATCATCATCGATACTAAAGTAATATAGAGTTTTAACTGTATCCACTGGTCGATATCAATAAATATTATTTAATTTGCTTATTTATCTGACTAATTGACTATATACTTAAAGTTCAAATTGGACTTGGCTAGGATATCAGTTAACATGTTTATTGTTCATTATGAATTTTGCTAATATAAATGAACTTTTTATATGTCAAGATGACATAAAAACTTCTGATCTAATATAGTACTGCCCAAATTGATTCATTATAATCTGAATTACAATTGAATCTTCAGAGCCTTCACCAAATGGTTTCTTGAAATTATACATTTTGCATGTAACAATATAATAATTAACCAATTAATCAAGCATCGATTATAACAATACCACGTTTTACCAGGAAATGGCTCACATCCAGTAATAGTCGATTCCTGGATGTTTCTTTAGTTCAACTAAACTGTTCCATTTCATCTGAAGAAAATTGGTTACTATCTGATAATGAACCAACTGCAGGTCAATTTTCAAGTAATTCAAGGCCTTTCATTTGAACATAAGAACTAATAATAGCCCCAATTCAATTATCATTTATTAATCGATGTATTAGTTCTGGTTCGATTTGTCTAATACTGTTTGGAAATGAACATAAATTTATCAAAAAAAAATAAACATAAAAAATAAAAAGTCAGTAAAATAGCTATAATTAAGCCTTACCGAGTATCCCATTCATGTGTTCGAACGAGAAACACCAAAATGCGTATAATAACTGTGATCATCATGTTTTGCCCATGGAGCTGATGAAGGAATAATCGAACTAATAATCCGTTACTTTTTAGTTAAGGTGTTTTGACAAATAGTTTGATTAAGCCATTTTTCGTTTTCTTGCCTTTATTTGTGTTCGTAGTGAT